CAAACCATTGTTCTCTGGGAACCTACAGATTTACAACATCAGACAACCCTCTGGATTAATTAGGTTTAGCAGGTTTTCAAAGGACCACAAACAACTTTTTACCCTCCCATTACTTCTTAGGCGAGAGGAAATCATGAAGAACAATTAATTAGTCCTGTGTGTAAGACAGAGTGGCTATTAGCAGCTAGTCCCCTTTGGTAAAACTCAGACCCTGTCATAATAATTCACTATAAACATCTTGCAGTCAGTGTTTATTCTCCTGTTGTCTATACTGGAGACTTGACATGCTCTGGAGAAGTAAGAATGTCTGCTTTGCTGAAATGTCTGAGTTCCAGAATTCTTTAATGTGTTGGCCGACTTATATGATGTTTTCATGACATTGTAGTACAGGCCAGTGGGCACTGGTGGCGATCCAGCTTACTTGGAATTACACATACAATTACACCCATAGTCCAGCTTGGCAGCACCCCTCTGTGGAGTCACACTGCGTGCCAGGCATCACTAATTAAAGGCTGAATGCCCAGGATGATTTTCAGAGGTACCTGGAGACTGCCCCTTCCGAGGGCTTTGGCAAAATGGTCTAGAATATCAAAATTACACAGCTTCCTCAGCCTTCTTTTAATAGAATCAGGGCATGGATAAATAATGTGTCTTTGGCCTTCCAGCACCTCCCTGTCTTTGCTCCTCTCTAACCTCCTGCTTCCCTATCTTTCTTGTTCTTCAAACTCCAAGCAGCTTTATCCCTTCAGCTTTTCCAAGCCAACCTCACCTGCCAACCCCTTCCCAGACCTCCCACCCCTGGAGAGCCCAGACTCCAGAATTATGACACAGCATCAAGAAACAGAAGTATTCAAAACTGTCTTTTGGATAAACACTTTTGAGGGAAAAGGAGTAAAAAGGAATTTAGTCAGAAAAGATGCTCACAAAGGCCAAGTGAAATGAAGAAGCATGACACATCTCAGAGAGAGTTCTAGGCTAGAATCTGGAACCTCATTTCTGTTCAGGCCTGGTATGCTGGTCTTTTATCTTAAGGCCATCCAGGGATGGTCAAAATCTAAATTTTCATTTAATTGAATTAATAATTTTACATGCCAGAGGATAGCTTCAAATTTTGTATAAGAAACCAGAAGATAATTATATGGTAGAGAAGCTTCTAAAAGGCTGATTTTCCTGTTGTGAATGAAGGGAGACCTTCTCTTCCTTCTTGTGATTGTATGCCACTGCTTCTTTCTCATATATTGACTCTGAAGTTTAAGATTCTAATGGTGGATAAGAATCCTGCTGCACAGAAAAAGAAACATTAGCCTGGAAAGTGCTGGAAAAGTTAGACAAGTCATTTCAAAACAGATGGATAAGGAATGTGGAGGCATATGTTTAAGGTAATTCCAAAGAACTATAATAAAACTACCCCCTGCCTCAAAGTCCATTTCTCACCAGTGTGCTGTGGGGTACATAGTTCCTTCGTTATACTTCATCTTCAGGATGACCTTAGAAAATTCAGCAACCAGGAAGGAATAAAATAACCTGTCATATGGTTCCCTGAAGGCATAAGATCTTATTTATTGCTAGAAAGCCAGGAGAGGACAAGGAGATGGTGCCAAACTAAAGATAAAACCCTCCTGCTTTGTAATTTTGCTGAGTGCAAACCCTGCAGAAAGAATAAAATACTCTCAGTCATGAATCTCCAAAGTTCTTGGAGCCTCCGTGAGAATAGAGATAATCGAGATCATGTACAGCAAATCAATAGGCCACCTTGTTGGTACTGCAAAGAGGGTTTCTGCCCTAGATCCATCAAGTTGTTTAGAGCTGTAGTATAAAAGGTAGAGTCCCAAAAGCAATTTTAAAAGAATCACCTCTCCAGGTGACATCATTTTCAGACTGATGGCAACTGTCCTGGAGGCCCAGGATGACTTGGACATAAAAGGAATGTTTCTGGTTTTCTAGGGTTATATTTTATCCATGGCAGTGGATCAGTACTGTTGGGATGGCTTGTTCCTTTAATCCCTAGACTTCTTCCCAGGAAACAGGCATTCACAACTACTAGATTGTGAAAGCAACTTGGAAATGACCCTTCTAACACCCTTACCGTCCGATAAGGAAACTAAAGCATGGGGCGGGAGTGATTTATGAAGCAGAATTGCACACTGGCCATAGCATGGGTTTGGGGAGTAGACAGGCCTGGATCTGTGTGCACTTGGACAAGTTAGTGAATATTTCTGAGACTGAATGTCTTCTGTAAAGAGAGTTCTTAAGGGGCTCAAAGAAGGAACTCAAAACTTGGCTGGTATTATTCTATTGCTATTTTTAAAAATTGAGACATAATTCACATAATATAAAATTCACCACTTCAAAGTGTACAGTTCAGTGAGTACATTCACATGGTGCATCACCATCAACACTGATTCTAGCACATTGCCATCAACCTCCCCAAACCCTGTACCTATTAGCAGTCAGTCCCAATTCTCTGCTGCCCCCAGCTCCTGGCAACCACCAATCCACTTTGTGTCTCTACAGACATGTCCTATAAATGGAATGGTACATGGCCTCTGCGGTCTGGCATCTTTCACCTGCATCATGTTTTCAAGCTTCACCCAAGTTGTAGCATATATTTCACTCCTTTTTATCGCCGAATAATAAACCATTATATGGATGCACCACCTTTTTTCTATCCATTCATCAGTTGATGGAAACTTGGTATAATTACCATTGTTTTACACAATTGGGCCAAAACCAGAATGAAGACTTGGGTGTCTCTCAACCCTGTCCTGTTTTTACTACCCCATGCTGTTTTTTGTAACCTCTGACATGTTTTGTAGTACTACTGTTGGTTTGCTCAAAGAAACCCTTGCAGCCTGGTTAGCTTCTCTGAGGATTTTATGCCTTTACAATAATTTTTCCCTTATGGAAATAAAATAAAAACACAGTTCAAGGAAATGGAATCTCAACATCACAGAAGAATTACACGGAAGTAGACTTATAGACACTGAGAGGTAACTGGTGGTTACCATTGCATGGGAGAGGTTAGGGGAGGTAGGTGGGGAAGGAGAGGGGGATAAAGGGGCACAAAAATTCTCAATCATAATAGAAGTTGGTCATGGGAATGGAAGTACAGCATGGAGAATGTAGCCAATGATTGTAACATTTCTGTTGACATATAGTAACTGCACTAATTGGGGTAAGGATTTGATAATGTGGGTAACTGTTGAACCACTGTGTTGTATACTTGAAACCAATACAAGATTGTATATCAGTGATAACAATTTAAAAAAAAAAGAAGAAAAATTAAGAGAACCAGGTTTAATTTTCATTTTCTAGACTCCAGTGGACTGGTCTTTATGCCTTTTCATCCCACTGTATTTTACAGAACAACCTGAGGTCTGGATGGCAGTATTTATCTGGTTTATTATGTGTAAGTTCATTACTATGGTTTACAGCCCAGGATCAGAGAAAGTACTTATTAGCTTTGACTGATGTTTGAGGACCTTTTTTTCTTGTTTACTTTATACCATGGCAAAAATTCAGAATTTTTCTCTTCTTCAGTGAGACAGTCACTGTTATTGCATTAACCTGGCCACTGGGTATGGGTAATGGATGCCTTTGCTACAGAACTTAGTACATTTCAAATACAGCTAGTCACCTCTCCTTATGACCTGGCCCCCTTCCCACAGACAGACTACCCAACTCTAAGGTCTGATTTTCAAGCCTGGGGAAAGCAGCTAGCTTAGTATATACTTGGGAAAGTTGTTTTCCATTCAATGAAGATATAGGTGACATAGACCCAGACCTTCTCTTTGTGGGCACATGAAAACCAGAAGCAGTTCCAGCTCATTAAGGATTTGGTTGTTGACATTCTTTGCTTGGGATTGGGTGATGTGTAGAATGTGGTAAGATTCCTGTGGTGAAGGCATTTCCCTGGGTTCCTCTAGGGTTTGTACTTCCTTATCTTGGGTGGCATGAGTGGAGGGTCCAGCCCAGCCTGGTTTCCTGACTTCGAGCAAGTGTTTTGTTGCTAATGCTCGAATGATCTGGTCCTAAACACCGCTAATTATTCACCTCACCTGATGCTCTGTTTTCTTGTTATTCTTTAATATCTGGAGTAGTTATTGTATGTCAGGCTTCACATCCATTATCTCTTTTATATTATTTCCTGCTTCTAAGTGATTGGCATACTTCAAATACATGAGAAATGACTGTGCCTGGCCCTTGTCTGCTCCAAGCTAAGCATTCTTCTTTCCCCCGCTATTCTTGGTCGACAGTTTCCCAGCAGCCCCCTTCGTCCTGGCCTCCCTGTGTCTATGTGTTTTCCACTTCGTTGTTGTTACTCTTAATGTGATGTCCAGATGGAAATGATGCTCCACATGTGCTGTGAACAACCCAAACTAGAACCATTACCAAGAAATGAACCTGATACTCATTTAATGTAGCATACACCTGCCGAGTGTCATTTACCTGTTGCACCTTAATACCAGCCAACCCCTTTTTCCCTTTACTGCTGGGAGGCAGAGGTTCTTGTGAAGTTGATGTTTTGACCCTGAGTACAGAACTTTACATTTCCCCCAGTCTGTTTTACCCATTCTTTACCCTGGGGGCTTGCAGTGTTGTTGTATCAGAATCATATGAATGGGAGGCTAACATAATTGCGGTACAAGAAATTGTTAAGGGAATGGAGAATACATTTTTTAATGATATGTTAGGACTGGCTCTGTGAATTGAAAAATCCTTCTCTGACCACCTACCCTAGAGTTCTTTCATTAGTAATTTCTAGTTCATGGGTTTTGGGGGTTTATTTGGTTTGTTTAGGGGTTATTTTTAGCATCAACAATTACATAGATTAAAAGAATGGATTGAGTGTTAAGCCTCTTCAGGGAGCTTAGTTTTTCAGTCACTTTGCCAGGCGGTTAATCACATGGATCCTGTGTGGGCTCTTGAGCGCATCAACCTGCTGCATTGTTCTGGAAGGATGTTTCTAGAATTTTAACTGGCACCTCTGTTTGTTGCAGTTACCTGGCTGAGCAGTGCTGGAATGGCGGCTTTATCTACCTGATCATGCTGCGTCGCTTCAAGCACAAAGTCCACACTCCTTATAATGGTAACGCTAACAGCAGCTCTGAACCAGGAGAGACACCTACCCTGGAGCTGGAGGACCGAGCTGTGAAAAAAGGGAAAAGAGCAAGAAAATTTGGGGTGATTTCCAAGCCTTCTACCCACAAGGCCCCTGAGGAATCCAAGAGCAGTACTGGGTGTGAGCTGGACAGCGACCCCATCTCAGAGCCGGATAATGGCCCAGACCCTGAAATTGGAAACGGTCACACTTTTGAGCTAGAAGATGGCCCAGATTCTCTCAAGGAGGTGGCTGGATGCCATCTAGACAGGTCAGAGGCAGACAGAGGGACAGAGCCTAGAATCCCAAAGACAGATGCACCTCTGCCCACAAGCAATGACAAAGGCTGCTTCTCAAAATCTGGGAAGACAGACTTCCAGTCAAGTGACTGCCTGGCACGGGTAAGGTTTGGTTTGATTATAGAACATGAGTGCTAAAAGAAGTATTGTTGAAGTTTCTTTTAAAGTTTAGAAACTATTTCTGAGATGACCTTGCATTTAGAAGCCAACACAGTCATTAAGATAAATGATCAGAGGACATAATAACAACAAAAATCCAAGTCATTTTATCCTACTTAAATAAAGAGCTAGTTGAATGATCATAAGTGGAAAATTCAAGCCTTCTGTGGTATAATTTGAATCATATGAGGCCCAGATAAAGTACTTGAACTGCAACATTATTTATCACAACTGTCATCAGTAGAATTGCTACTGCAAGGCCAAGAATTCCTGGTGGCAGTTGATAGCATAAACATCCAAGCCTCGGTATTACACAGGAAGGAAATCCAACATGCAGGGAAGCATCTGCTTTTATTTTTAACACTTCAAAACCAGTGACATTTTCATGGGCTCATGTTATTATTACATTGCTGAATTCCAGTGAAGTCTGGAAACTTCACAGAAATCTCTGATACTATGGTATCCAGCTGTGATGGTCAGGGTTGGGCTTACCTAAAGGCAAAGCAGATGTGGTATATTCTGCACGGTAATGGGTATGCTTCTAGCCTCAAATTGTCTCCTCCATCATAACCAGCATTTCTCTCATGACGTTACATTTCTTTAGGGTAAACCTGTTCCTGCCACGAATCCTCTTGGCAAGTATTTTATGGTTTCCTAATGAAGCAGTAACTTCCTACATGGTGTCTGATTGGTTTCTTCTCTGACTCCTTCTAGGAGACAATCCCTAGGGATGAAAGAGAAAGTTGGAAAGGTAGAAAATGGGCACAGAGAAAGTATCAAGCTCAGCTTTGCATGATGCTGGAATGGTACCCTAGGAGTAAAAGTAATTTCTAGTCGGGCTATTTCATGCATATTTCTGCAACTGTAGCCAATCTGCACTATGGGTTGAGAAGAATCAAACTAACCCCTCTCTCAAGGGACCAGATGCCTTTATTTGAGGATTTGAGTGATCTTCATAAGGCCTTGCACAGAGGAGGCATTATTTGTAGATGGAATGTGTAAACAGATGAGAAGAAAAAAATGTCTATCTATCAATTTTATGGTCTCCCCCCAAAAAGAAATAAGCGTAATAAAAAGATTATAATGTATACTCCCCCTCCCCCAAATGAAGGGCAATAAAAAGATTGTAAGGTGTTCCTTATCAATGAATACTATTATCTTGATATTTTCCCCTAATGATTAGATTTGGAATATTCAGAAAGCCTAAGGTGAAAAAAAAAAAAAAGTTAGGTAGTTTTGGCTCCCTTAGTCATTTTGAAGGTTTAAAGATACCAAAGGTTGAATCTCATACAGTCCAAAGAACAGGTTTTCATTTGGCTTAGGATAATAATATAATGATAATAATTTGGGATGATTTAAAAAAAAAAAGACACCAAACTTTTAACAGAGTACCATCCTTTTCTCATCTTAATTAAAGACAATTACATAAAATTGGATTTCTGGATTAGACTACCTGAAGAATACACATATTAGAGTTCCTTGGCCTGGTTTTTGCATGCAAGGTCAAACATCCTAGAAGATATAAGTAAAACAATGAAAAAAAAAAAACTTTGTGTTAGATGCTGTAGGTGCATTTACCCAGGATTGATAGGACTGAAGCTTTCCCCCACATCCGGGTGGCACCCAAATTGGAAAGAGTAGACTGTCACAGGAGGTTGCTTAGTTTCTTGGGCTGAGTGGATTTTTATTTTTTATTCCAGGATGAGCCCAAGGTCATACTAAAATTGAATTTCCAGGAAAACAAAAAATTAGCTATTTACCTCTTAAGCCTTTGGGAGGAAAATTCCATTCCATTTGAATAGTAAGAGATTAAACCTGTCAGCATTGTTCCATTTTTGCTTTATTAATGATTTAATATATCTACAAAGACACAATAAATGTTTCTACAAAGACACAGGAAAGTCTTATAATGATCATTCAGACCATTTTTATTTGTCAGGTACTTTTTCATAGGCAGGAATTTATTATATGAAAATAAATCCTCAGTCTTTGTTTTTTATATTCTGTTCTCCCTTAACAGAGCTATAGTAAACATATTTCCTCTAACACGTATCTTTTTAAAAAACATTGTTTCTGCAAAATATTACCACATAGTGATGCATTAGCAGCCAGATTAATTTTTTTTAATACAAAAGCTGGGCCCATAGTCTAAAACCCAAGAATCTCATAGATAAGCAGTTTTAGAAATAAATTCAGAGTTCCTTATTCCTGTCTAGTAAAGATCATCACCCAACCAACGTGACAGTTCTCTCAATCCTGTTTACTATAATCTGTATTTTTGTAATGCTGCACAGTAAAAATAAATACAACCAAACTTAGTCACATAACAAAGAAAAAAAGCCTTACCATTTAGCAGCCAGGCAAACTCACTCCCAGCTGGCACGTTTGTCTATGGATCCATTTGTGATCTTAACTAGTACTTGTCATGTGCCCTGCGCAGTACCAGACCTCTTCAGCAGAGACCTCGGGAAGGCTACCCTAGCTGCTTTCAGCTCTAGGCGGCTAGGTTTCATATGGACAATAGCACACCCAAGGCTGAGAACGTCTGCATCTTCCTGTCATCCTTTGTGTACCGCTGAACTCCTTAGGTGGTCAACAAGTTCTGAGGCAAGGAAACTTGCAATGATTTCTTTGAACTCTCCCCTTGTAGTTCCTACTTTCAATTATAGGAAAAAAAATCTTGTTACTGGATAAAAATGAAAAAGAAAATCTGTTTCTTGACTAGTCTAGTTGGGGGCTATACTACAAATCGATTAGTTCTGCCTCCTGTGAGGGCACTTTTAGTAGATACAGGCTTTATTTTGTTTTGCTGTTGACTAGCCGAGTGTGTATTGGGTAGGGGTGTGGAGTGAACATGTGAGTGCGCTTGATGAAAACTGTCTTCAGCTCTTCTGTCAGAGTATCCGTGAGTCCATTCTGCTTTCCCCAGGATCATAGTTTTGCATGTTTCTCATCACAGGTCATTTAAAAGCATTTAAAAATTAGAAGGAACTGTAGCTAGTATTGTCTCACCTTTTGTGAGCCATATCTAATAGCTTTTAACAAAAGGATGGGAGGGCTGGGGGAAATGATGGTGTACCTAGTAATGGGGATGAATAGGTTTTTACTAATTTGGACTGAAACCAAATGGGTTTTCTTATTTCTGAACTCTAATAATGGTCCCTGTTGCTCTTAGGAAAAGATTCCATGGCCTCTCTGTACTGGATTGTCCCATATTTTCAGGACCACAGGAGTCATGTTATATCTTCCATGGAAAAAACAAGTTAAGCCCCCACACTGCTCTAGTTTCTCACCTGTACCATGAGGCCCAGGGAAGCAGCCCCGGAGCTGACCCACACAGGGGTGGGATGCCCAGCCAGCCAGGGCAACAGCTAGTCAGCACATCCCTGAATTTGTTCCCTCTGGGGCTATGTACCAGGCCATGGGGTTCACGTACTGCAAATGGTAAAGTTTCCATCTTGGTGGTAGCACTGATTCTCAAGGATGGCTTCTTGGGAGCAGTGGAGCTGTGAGGGACTTTGAAGGCCAGGGAAACCATTTACGAATGTGGAAGAGAGAAAAGGGTATTCCAGGGATCAGAGACAACAGACCCCAAACCGCCATGTTCAAGGTGAAACGGTTGGAAATAGAGTAATCCTTGACAAGTTCATGAACTGCTGTGGTGAGCCAGTGACATCTGAGGTTGCATTGGGCCAGACAGCCGTCGTTTGTCTGTGGTCAGTGGCTGAAGGAGACAGCTGGCACCGCTGCCTGCTGCTGGAGCAGTGGAGCCCCAGTGAGCAGTGCTGTGCTGGGAAAAGCAGAGGAGCCAACAGGTCTCTGCTGATAATTTCCCCAGACATTCCTGTTGCTGCACATCAGTAACTGTTCAACATCTGGCCTTTTTACTATTGCATAAAGTTTCATTTAGCTTCTGACAGTATGTATTTCAGATTTTCCAAATGCTTCACATTCTTTATCTTTTGCAAGCAGCTTGAATGGGAAAGTTGCCCATTACTAGGGGGATGATGGCTTTGTCCATAACGGACCTTAACAGTTCCGTTGGACCTTCATGGTGGATAAAGAAAGAAGATGACTTTTACTTGACATGTTGAAGAATTCACTATGACCTGTGCCTATATACCTAGAGCCACAAGAACAGTAGGGATGAGCCTAAAGTAAGACCCCAAACTAAATCACTTCAGAAGGTTTTGTTTTCATTTCTCTGAACAGCTATGTGTCCAAGGGAACTCAAACATTTTGCAGTGGGCATATTTGTGTCTTTGGATGACATAGGGAGTCAAGTGGAGAATGAACCAAAGCAGAAAAGCTACGCACTCCAGAAGACACAGAGACATGTATTAGTTTTTTAAAAGGATAGATTTTTGTAAGGATTAAAGCATTTTTTAATATATTTAAAGAGTATACAGACCAGTGTCTATAGAAGTCAGTAAAAAGTTGATCAATTAATTTCCTGTTTTGGTTTCTCCTACCAAAGATCACGTGTTGTTCAGGAAGTTTGAAATTCAGTGTGATGTTTTCAACATATGTATGCAAATATATGGTCATATATATAATAATACATGGTAACCAATCAACATTTATTATATATACTAGGTGTCAGGGCACTGCTGTTCCCATAAGTATCTCTTCTAATCCTAACAGCCAACCTGGAAGTATTAGTAATTATTCCCACTTTAGAGGCAAGGAAACAGTTTTTAGGCATTAGATGACTTTCAAAAGTACTAAGTAGCAGCGCGGGTCAATCTAGTTGAAGTCTTCTGGCTCCAAGACCTAGCTTTGTCCCTTTCATCTTCCTTTATTAATCAGTAGCCGTGTATAAACAAATGGAACCTAGATACAGCAGTGTTTACACACACAGTGGTATCTGGGTTTCAGGCAGAAGAAGCGCAACAAGGCCCTGGTCAGGGAACTCAGTCATCCCCTTGCTGTGCTGTCCAGTATCATAGTCACTGCCACTATGGCTATTAAATGAAATTAATGTAAATGAAATTTTAAAAAATGAAATTATCTCAGTTGCCACTAGCCACAGTTCAAGCACTCAGTAGCCACCTGTGGCTAGGGGCTCCCTACTGGCTAGTGCACACACAGAACATTCCCATCATGGAAGAATGATCTCTTAAACAGCCCTGCTAGATGGAGACTTGGGCCAACCCACAGAGCTTTCTCTGCTGTGGCCGCCTGCAGTGTCCACTGACGCGTGACGCGTGGTTGGTCCCACCTGACAGCTCCGTGCGCCTGTGTCAGTGCCGTGTGTCTGTCCGTGTACTTCACAGTGTGCTCACTTTTTCTCCCAAGGAGGAAGTTGGCCGGATATGGAAGATGGAGCTGCTTAAAGAATCGGATGGGCTGGGAATTCAGGTTAGTGGAGGCCGAGGATCAAAGCGCTCACCTCACGCTATCGTTGTCACCCAAGTGAAGGAAGGAGGTGCCGCTCACAGGTGACTAGATACCTCTCTCCCTTTCTCTGTCCCCTTGCCCTCCCCCTGCCGCCCCCTGGGTGCTAGGACTCTTCTGCTTGGTCAGAGTCCTGGTAATTACAGTTCATAAAAATGATGCTGGAGCATGGAAGAAAATCAGGCATGAGAGGTTCTAATTAAACACACCTCTGAGCACAGAAAGTGCTAATTGCTGGAAATCCTTCAGGTTCCCCCAAACCATGATGGAGACCTTGGATTTCCTCCCAATCCAATTTGAGTTTCAAGTGAATGTTACTCACCCTAACTTTTTGGACGCTGGTAATATGTGATTACTTATCAAGACTGCCACACAACAGATTACCACACTCGTGACATCTTACCTTCTGTAAGACTGTGGCTACTGTCGGGAAAGTGGGTGGCTTTAAACACAACCACAGTTCACGTGCTGCGTCTGGAGCTGTCAGCTCTGCCAGGATGCTACACACTTACACGGGTGTGTCTCTCTGGTGTTCAGATACAGAGGGGGAAGAAAGTAATATCAATGTTTCTCCTTGTGACTGAAAACAATTTATACTTGAACACTTCTTTTTTAATTTGAACAATCATGTTAGTTTGGAAGAAGGACAGTGGTTAGGCAGGACATGTACAAAGAAGAAGCCCATCTGGGTTTACAAGGATGCAGCTGCCCGCAAATATAACACACGTTTCTGCCATGCTAGCTAATTGTGTCCAGGTACATAGAGTGTCTATATTTGCAAAGCATGGTAGGGTATGTGCATATATTGTACATATATTGCACACCCAGGTGTATAAAGGTAGAGTCTCACTGATGGAGTCCAGTTGAGGTACCTTGGCGCTGCGAGGGCGTGGCAGACCAGAGAGTACTGGCGTGCCCGAGACTGAGCAGGCGCTCAAGGAACAGCTCATGAGGTGGCCTTGAAGTTGATGGCGGTATTTAGCCTGAAGAATGGAAAACTAAGGAGAGGACCAGGGCGCAAACTATCCAAGTGGCTCCTGCACATCAGTCCTGTAATGAGAGAGTAGATGCTACAGCTAAAGTAGAAATAAGATGAACTGCAGTTGTCAGTTATCTGGGTGGCAGAACTTACTGAAGGATGAAGGCTTAAGATAGCTTTTATCCAGAAGAGCATCATCACACTTCCCGAATGAGGTATGCTTACAGGGACTTCCATCAGACGGCCATTTGCCCACTAATCCTGGGTCAGGGGCTCTCGTCTGTCTTTGGCAAGCTGGTGATTAGGAAACTCCTGTGCCCAGAGATAAGCTTATACAGAACTGCTCTTGTCTGTCTCCTGTGTGAGCTCTTTCTAGTGGGCCTCACCGTTTTCCTTTCGCCCTGAGCCTGGGTTGTGTGTGTCTCTGCTCCTGGAGTGCTTCTGAAGGGGGGCATTCTAGTTAATACCGAACGAGAGAGATGGTGTTAAAGAGGGAAATAAGCGAAAGGGATGGGGACAGGGATGGTCTGGAGTGAACCCAGGGACACTGGCCAGAGCCGCTGTATTCTTCTCTATTCCTGACAACCTTTCCTCCCCAGTGGCCCACCCTGCCCCTGGGGGCTCCAGGTTCTCTGGGTTTTCCTATCCCCCTTCTCTTTCCATCCAAGCAATGGGTTCTTATATTTCTCTGCTTCAGGGTTTTTTTGAAAGACTGAAAGCAGAGTTGTTGGAAGTCTGTGGTGCCTCCTGTCTTCTGTTAAAGCCAAAATTCACAGGAAAGTTTATGGTGCATGCACTAGTGGGCTGAGAGAGAAAAATTGGTGAAGGAGGGAGGGTGAAAAGAATTTGATTGATTCGTTGAAAGAAGGCGAGGTGGAGAGCATCTACAGGTTGGCGAGAAATAGGTGTGTGGCCCTGGGAGTGCTGGAGCCATGCACAGGTCCCTCAGCAGCACCCTGGGGGCTGATGGTGACTCTTTAGAGGGGCTGGTGGGACCTTCAGCTTAGGGAGCCTCAGCCTCACCAGATTTCCTACCTTGGATTTAGCAGTGGAGATTAAATGCCCCTGGCTCCATTGGGGTTGTGGGAGACCAGACCATTGGAGGCTCAGCAGGCAGCCACAGGACTGTTGACCCGCCATGACTGAAGGGACCTGCCCAATACTGGCACAGTGTGCCACCCAGACCCTTGACCCACACTCAGACAGACAGTCCCTGTGAAGCCCGGGTCTCCTGCCAGCCCAGTGGGGAGGAAGCTCTAGGTCAGCCCTAATTTGAGTTAAAGGAAATAAAGAAACAGAACACATTTATAGACCTGCTGCAGCTATAAATTAGACAGTTCATTTGTTCATGTTTGTATTCATCCTTCTGCTAATAAAGCCTGGCTGTAAGGAAACAAGGACAAAAAAAGGTGCTGAATTTATCAAGGTCCCAGAGTTCTATGTGTGTCTTGGGGGTGGGAGGCACAGACACATGCAGTACAGAGGCACAGGTGCCACAGAGGAAGTCTGGCCAGCGGCAGTCACCCACAAGGAGAGGGTGGTGGGTTAGAGGAGGCTTCCCGTGGGACATGGGGCACCTTCGCCCCTCTGGGCTTCCTCAGCAACTCAGCCACTGACTCAGCCGTGAGGGTAGGATGGCGGGTAGGACTGAGAAAAGAGTGACTTGACTCTCCTGACACAATGGGGTCCCGGCTCCCCCAGCACCACCACCAACCCGGCTTGCAGCCAGTTTCTTGACATTGATGTGATTTATGGTGGTGATTTAAGAACATGCCTGTCCCTAGGCCACCATCTGGAATCCTAAGTGGGAATCTGGACCTAGCCAGACCAAAGGCTGAAGCAGCCCCGTCCCAAAGGGTCTCTGGTCATCGTCCCTACTTCCCCTTCAGCCTGCTTGTAACCCTCCCCTCTCACAATCCCCCCCAGATCCAGGAAAACGTCCCTCCTCAAGCCCAGAATGTCTTGACATGGGATTTCTTTCCCATCTCCCTTTCCTCAGGGATGGCAGATTGTCCTTAGGCGACGAGCTGCTGGTAATCAATGGTCACTTGTTGGTTGGCCTCTCCCACGAGGAAGCTGTGGCCATTCTTCGCTCAGCCACTGGAATGGTTCAGCTGGTGGTGGCCAGCAAGGTAGGTCGTTTCTGTTTGTGTGTTTTAATACTTTCAACGGTGGTGGTGAATTTGGACTTGAGCCCTCCCCATGCCACACACACACACACACACACAATTTCAAGTGAATGTTACTCACCCTAACTTTTTGGACGCTGGTAATATGTGATTACTTATCAAGACTGCCACACAACAGATTACCACACTCGTGACATCTTACCTTCTGTAAGACTGTGGCTACTGTCGGGAAAGTGGGTGGCTTTAAACACAACCACAGTTCACGTGCTGCGTCTGGAGCTGTCAGCTCTGCCAGGATGCTACACACTTATACGGGTGTGTCTCTCTGGTGTTCAGATACAGAGGGGGAAGAAAGTAATATCAATGTTTCTCCTTGTGACTGAAAACAATTTATACTTGAACACTTCTTTTTTAATTTGAACAATCATGTTAGTTTGGAAGAAGGACAGTGGTTAGGCAGGACATGTACAAAGAAGAAGCCCATCTGGGTTTACAAGGATGCAGCTGCCCGCAAATATAACACACGTTTCTGCCATGCTAGCTAATTGTGTCCAGGTACATAGAGTGTCTATATTTGCAAAGCATGGTAGGGTATGTGCATATATTGTACATATATTGCACACCCAGGTGTATAAAGGTAGAGTCTCACTGATGGAGTCCAGTTGAGGTACCTTGGCGCTGCGAGGGCGTGGCAGACCAGAGAGTACTGGCGTGCCCGAGACTGAGCAGGCGCTCAAGGAACAGCTCATGAGGTGGCCTTGAAGTTGATGGCGGTATTTAGCCTGAAGAATGGAAAACTAAGGAGAGGACCAGGGCGCAAACTATCCAAGTGGCTCCTGCACATCAGTCCTGTAATGAGAGAGTAGATGCTACAGCTAAAGTAGAAATAAGATGAACTGCAGTTGTCAGTTATCTGGGTGGCAGAACTTACTGAAGGATGAAGGCTTAAGATAGCTTTTATCCAGAAGAGCATCATCACACTTCCCGAATGAGGTATGCTTACAGGGACTTCCATCAGACGGCCATTTGCCCACTAATCCTGGGTCAGGGGCTCTCGTCTGTCTTTGGCAAGCTGGTGATTAGGAAACTCCTGTGCCCAGAGATAAGCTTATACAGAACTGCTCTTGTCTGTCTCCTGTGTGAGCTCTTTCTAGTGGGCCTCACCGTTTTCCTTTCGCCCTGAGCCTGGGTTGTGTGTGTCTCTGCTCCTGGAGTGCTTCTGAAGGGGGGCATTCTAGTTAATACCGAACGAGAGAGATGGTGTTAAAGAGGGAAATAAGCGAAAGGGATGGGGACAGGGATGGTCTGGAGTGAACCCAGGGACACTGGCCAGAGCCGCTGTATTCTTCTCTATTCCTGACAACCTTTCCTCCCCAGTGGCCCACCCTGCCCCTGGGGGCTCCAGGTTCTCTGGGTTTTCCTATCCCCCTTCTCTTTCCATCCAAGCAATGGGTTCTTATATTTCTCTGCTTCAGGGTTTTTTTGAAAGACTGAAAGCAGAGTTGTTGGAAGTCTGTGGTGCCTCCTGTCTTCTGTTAAAGCCAAAATTCACAGGAAAGTTTATGGTGCATGCACTAGTGGGCTGAGAGAGAAAAATTGGTGAAGGAGGGAGGGTGAAAAGAATTTGATTGATTCGTTGAAAGAAGGCGAGGTGGAGAGCATCTACAGGTTGGCGAGAAATAGGTGTGTGGCCCTGGGAGTGCTGGAGCCATGCACAGGTCCCTCAGCAGCACCCTGGGGGGCTGATGGTGACTCTTTAGAGGGGCTGGTGGGACCTTCAGCTTAGGGAGCCTCAGCCTCACCAGATTTCCTACCTTGGATTTAGCAGTGGAGATTAAATGCCCCTGGCTCCATTGGGGTTGTGGGAGACCAGACCATTGGAGGCTCAGCGGGCAGCCACAGGACTGTTGACCCGCCATGACTGAAGGGACCTGCCCAATACTGGCACAGTGTGCCACCCAGACCCTTGACCCACACTCAGACAGACAGTCCCTGTGAAGCCCGGGTCTCCTGCCAGCCCAGTGGGGAGGAAGCTCTAGGTCAGCCCTAATTTGAGTTAAAGGAAATAAAGAAACAGAACACATTTATAGACCTGCTGCAGCTATAAATTAGACAGTTCATTTGTTCATGTTTGTATTCATCCTTCTGCTAATAAAGCCTGGCTGTAAGGAAACAAGGACAAAAAAAGGTGCTGAATTTATCAAGGTCCCAGAGTTCTATGTGTGTCTTGGGGGTGGGAGGCACAGACACATGCAGTACAGAGGCACAGGTGCCACAGAGGAAGTCTGGCCAGCGGCAGTCACCCACAAGGAGAGGGTGGTGGGTTAGAGGAGGCTTCCCGTGGGACATGGGGCACCTTCGCCCCTCTGGGCTTCCTCAGCAACTCAGCCACTGACTCAGCCGTGAGGGTAGGATGGCGGGTAGGACTGAGAAAAGAGTGACTTGACTCTCCTGACACAATGGGGTCCCGGCTCCCCCAGCACCACCACCAACCCGGCTTGCAGCCAGTTTCTTGACATTGATGTGATTTATGGTGGTGATTTAAGAACATGCCTGTCCCTAGGCCACCATCTGGAATCCTAAGTGGGAATCTGGACCTAGCCAGACCAAAGGCTGAAGCAGCCCCGTCCCAAAGGGTCTCTGGTCATCGTCCCTACTTCCCCTTCAGCCTGCTTGTAACCCTCCCCTCTCACAATCCCCCCCAGATCCAGGAAAACGTCCCTCCTCAAGCCCAGAATGTCTTGACATGGGATTTCTTTCCCATCTCCCTTTCCTCAGGGATGGCAGATTGTCCTTAGGCGACGAGCTGCTGGTAATCAATGGTCACTTGTTGGTTGGCCTCTCCCACGAGGAAGCTGTGGCCATTCTTCGCTCAGCCACTGGAATGGTTCAGCTGGTGGTGGCCAGCAAGGTAGGTCGTTTCTGTTTGTGTGTTTTAATACTTTCAACGGTGGTGGTGAATTTGGACTTGAGCCCTCCCCATGCCACACACACACACACACACACACATGTGCACGCACCCCCTGCTATGTATGTACACATTTACCTTGGGCCATGACTTTGATGCTACAGTGCAAACTCACAAGGGGGCCATTAGCTGAAGTGCATTTAATTATTTTGCTTTCTTTCAAGGATCTTCATAGGTATATTTAGGAGATGGAAAAGCCATTTAAGGAGAATGTAAGAATGGGAGGATGGAAAGAAGGACAAGGTAGCGAGAGCAGCACTCTCCCAGGGCGAAGAGGAGATGCGGCAGTCTGCTGACTGGCAGGGCCGGGGGAGAATGAACGGGTGCCCCTTCCAGGTCCTGGGGGAAGAAGGGTTCAGGGCCAGCCACGGGCAGCCCACAGGCCCTGGTTCTGACTCATGTCCTCAAGTAGTACGGGCTCTGGAGGAGCCTTGTGAATCCTGTCTGTCCAGCCACCCCCACCTCCACCAACTGACACCTTCTTCCTCAGTTTTACAAATGAGACGGTGAGGCAGAGCTTCTGTGGAGGCTCCCCTTGCACAGAGGCCCTGGTGGCGTCAGCGGCACCAGCACCCAGGCTCCTGACATGAGCCAGGACCTGCCCCGCCCATGCTGTCACCTCTTCCTGAGGCCTGGGCTGTGGTTTCTTGCACCCCCAGCCCCGGAGTGTGTTAAACTAGCGCCAGTGCCCCGAGCCCACAGCCTCTGCCTTCTGCCCCAGTCTCCCCAGCTGTATGTAGCGCCTGCAATAAACACTGTAGGACTCCACAGCTGTGCGACAAGGAAGACGAGAGGCCGGGCTCTCCCGGTTCTGCCCCACTGCCTTCGTCATGCTGCTGGCGAGACCAGGAAAGAGCCCGTGGGACACAGGGAAGAACCAGGGTGAGGCCACCCTCACGCTGTGCAGAAATACACCCTTGCCAGTATGGCTAACCGTTGCCCCATTATCCCGTGTTATTTTTTAACCTAGCATCCAGTTTCTGTAAGTTCTCCACTTAGATTACAAGGTCTATTGCCTGACTTTGGAGTGTTTAATAAATAGATTAGGAGGATATTTTGAGTGATCTGAAAAATCTGTTTCCTCTCTTTATACCTTTTACCCCAGACCCTTGTCCTGGACTCTCAGGCTCCCAGTAGGAACACAGAATCTTGGCAAAGATTGGTAGGAAGAGTTGGCATTGACGTCCGTGAGAGAGAAGTTGAGACATACTCCATTCATAAGTCCCTCCTTCCCTCCCACAGGTGCCATGGGGCACCCTGGCATCTCCTCATTCAGGCCCAGGAAGGAGAGAAGCATTCTGCAAGGAGGGAAATGCTACATGGAAAGGAGAAGCAAATTCCTCATTTGGCCAGACATGTTGGGGTTTGAAAAGCATCATTGCATCTTAAACATTCATACACACACGTGTTTGCACAGCCCACCCCCCAACAGCCTGTGACTTTAGAATGCAGGGGCTTCTGCAGAAGCCTTAGACCCTGTGCATCAAACCTTAATTTCTGTGCTGACTTCTTTCTCCTGCTAGTTTGGAAAATGGGGAAGGGGAATCTCTTCTATGTCAAACCATTATCCACAAACATGCAGACACAAGAAAACAGAAAAGAAAAACAGAAAATGTCCATTCATGGGTAAACTAAGAATTAAGGGGCATAGAAGGGGTTTTGAAAACAAGTTCCTGGGTAATGCCTGATCTATGATCTCACCGAACTGAAGAAAGGAGTCTAACATGTATCCAGTGCCCACCAGCTGCCAGGTGCTTTTTACCTATCATCTCATTTAATTCTTAAGTCCCATGAGACAGTTTATAGTTCTTTTATTCAAAGGATGGAATGAAAGTCTAATTACTTTGTGCCTGGAGGTTACAGCCGCGGGTGGCAGGGGCAGGTTTCATCCTGGGTCTATCAGCCTTCAAAGTCTCGTGCTCCTGTGCCCTGAACTGCCCCTTGGTCAAGTAAGATGTAAAGGCCACCAGAGCCCATGGTAGTAGGAAATTGTAATGTGTTCCTGCCAGAGGCTTTGACTTTTAAGGACACTTGCTGCAGTTTTGTAGGGCTGAGCAGCAGTCCAGAGCCAAGGAAAGGGTGTCCATTCTAGTTCCCAGTCCACTGGCTCGTGGCCATCTGTAGTAAGCTGCAGTCCCACTGACCCGGGCCTCGGGAGTGATAGCTGTCATTTCCTCCATATGCTCCGTTCATGACTGGGCAGTACGCTGCTACGGCAGCTGCCTGCTGTGTGTTCCTGAACTTAATCTCTACCATCCGAGGGGCTCCTCCATGTGCGAGAAGCAAAGTCCTTCTTTAAATATCTTTTAGCATCTGTTCCTCTTCTTTATCCAACAAGAGCAAGCAATCCACATGCTTTGTTTCTGTCTTTATTTGTGAAGATGGGGAAAAAAGCTTTTGATTTCCTTAGTATAAGTAATATAAAAACTGCAAATTGTCATTATTATAGATAATAGTCACCTTGTTACAGAATTTAAAGGCATTGTTTTTGGAAATATAGCAGCTACTTCCTTCTGGAGAGGATGTGTCATGTTTCCACACAAATAAGTTGTTTGGTTATACACAGGAGCTTAAAATGTTTCGTTGAATGAATGAATAGAAATCAGAATATCCAAGCTCACTTTGACATTCCTAGAAGTACATGCACAGTAATACATGTATTTCTCTAGTGCTCTTTTCTTTTTCCACTCTTAGTTATTATTAACAAGTAATGTGTATTTATTATATCTAAAGTAGAAAACCCAGAAAAAATAGAAGAAAAAGAAACACTTTTGTAATATCACCATTAGTACTATCCATTAACTAGTATGTCCTTTCAGATGGGAACACATGTACATGTGTGTAACATGCACACATGTTTTCTTTTACATGGAATCAAACACCAGGAGCCAGTTCACACCTAGAGGCAGCCCCACCTGGACTTAGGCACCAGCACATCCCTTTAGAAGCTGTGTACCTTAAGCAGGTTAATATCTCCCTAAATCTGTGTTTGCACCTGTACAATGAAAATCAGTAACTACTTCTTGGGATGTTAGAAAAATTAAATGAGATATAATTTTATATATACAGGCCCCTAAACAATGTAGACTGGTCACAGTGAGCCCTTGGAGAAATGTGTGTCTATGGTTATCACATGTTATTATGTCCAGCTGGATATTACATCATTAATATGGTTACATGGTTTTCAACCTGCCTTTCCCTAAGCAGCATACTGTAAGAGTATTTCATCAGAAAGTACAATTCTTTGGCACCACCTTGAATGATGGTGTAGTATTCTGTCCTGTGGCTCTTGGGACCCTGACTTACCAATTGGAGCTTCATCTTTTTTTTTTTAACTCTTTTCTGTGAATGGTCTAGCAGGATTGACATCACAGACAAGGAATGACCTCTCTTTTTGTTTAATAGCTCTTCTTTCTGTCCTTGGGTAAGTTCGAACAGCATAGTATTCACAATTATTGATCTAAAATGAATGAGCTTCTTCAGGTACCTTAAAGGTGGAACGTGCATCAAACTAGTAACAAACATCACTGTCACCAGATGCCAACTCACCAATAGTTTGTAACATCCGTTATTTAAAATGGGTATTTTCTGTTGGTGGTGTTCTCTTTTCTGTCAGCCTCCAAAATCAAAAATTTCCCTATGTTTACTTCCTTGTAGAAATAGGAGGATGGGGACAGGACACATTTTTGTCTTTTCTGGCCTCAGGTCAGCCCTGCTGGTTCCTGGCTCGTGGGCTGTGGCTTTTTCCCGGGCGGTCTGGCCCCTGTGTATGCCTCAGTGACCTCGCCTGCCTCCCATAGCCTCCTCTGGCCTTTCCTGTGCATAGGAAGGAAGGGCTGTGTTGAAGCCCCCTTTACAGTCTAATCTTAATGGAGCCTGATTCCATGTATATTTGTTGTTCTTTAAAAGTTGTTCAAGAGCTGCTTTCATTGAAGAGACATCAATCTCCACTTTGGTGTTGTGAACCAATTAACAATCTAATATCTTTCTAATGAAGATATGCTAGTGAGATGAGCAATGGGGAAGAGGAGGGCATAATAGACTTTTGTGCTCTATTCTAGGCCTGGTGCTAGCAGTGTGTAGATATGGTGCCAAGTTTGGAGAACTCTCAGAAAAGCATGGGAGATAGACAAGTAGTTAGATGTACATTGCAAGGTGATAAAAGGAACAGTAAAGGACATTAGAGAAGAAAGGAAAGGTATATGACATGCCTCCTGAGATGATCCAAAAAGCCTTGCAGAAGGAGAGAATGCTCAGGCTTTGCCCAAACAGGGCTTAGTCATGAGAGGAGGGGTGGCCTAGGCCCAGGGAGCTGCTGTTGGAAAAGGCAGTAGAGCAGGGAGAGCCAGGCATGTTGGAAAGTCAGGATGGGTGGAATGGACGGTGTAGGTTGGAGGGGAGACTGCAGGGAGATGGGCGGCCAGATCTCCAAGCTGCTGGCCTGCCACCAAGGAGGCTTAAACTGTATCCTGAAAGCAAGATGGGATGGCCTCCAAAGGATCTCAAGTTCAGGGAACTTGGATTGCCCATAGAAACATTCATCTAAGAAATACAGATTCTTCAGGAAAAAAGATTTGTGTTTCAATTAGGTCCACACCCCTGACATTTAAAGTAACTTTGCAAATCTGGACATGCAGAACATACATTCCATGGAGTCTTTAAGTTGGAGTACGTGACCACCCACAGCTGACTCTGCTAGGTATTCCTTGGCCTTGACCCAGAACTGCCTGGTACCATGGGGTAATCTATGTGTTTTTAATTGTGTCCATATAGGAAAGCTCTGCAGAGGACCTCCTGAGGCTGACATCTAAGAGTTTGCCTGATCTGACCAGCTCAGTAGAAGACGTGTCCTCTTGGACTGACAACGAAGACCAGGAGCCAGATGGGGAAGAAGACGTAGGCACCAGCTCGTCTGCCATCCAGGGAGCAGTAAGTGTGCCTCTGGGTTCCCAGGCTGCTCTGCTGGAATCATATTCTCCTGAAGACATGGTTGGCAGGGTCAGAGATAAAAGCTTGAGTGGTATGAAAGAGACCAGGATGGGAGAAGACCACAGTGCATTCTTTTTTTTTCTTTTTTGGTCAGAATCTTCCAGAAAAATCTGTGAGGGTAATGCTTTTCATTTAAGAAAAAAACAATAAAACTAGAAACAGGATATGAGCAACTGGGTACTAAGTTCAGTGTGTATTGTCAGAATCTTCCAGAAAAATCTGTGAGGGTAATGCTTTTCATTTAAGAAAAAAACATTGAAACTAGAAACAGGATACGAGCAACTGGGTACTAAGTTCAGTGTGTATATAAATATCTAGGATGCGCAAGGGTATGTACAAGGATTTTATGGCTACTTCTTGATATAGTGCTTGAAAACTATGGTTCATGAATTTAAACTTAAGAGATGTCTAGTTGAAAGTGGAATGTCAAAATAACACAAAACCCAGGCAAAGTTATATAGATACGTCTTACAATTTTAATCAAACCAGAACTCTCACATGGTTCATAGCTCATCCTTACACAGCCTGTGACACTTCACACCTCGTGGTCCCATCTCCAGCACTGCCTGGCACACAGAGTCGGGGGGGCTTTTGGTTAATTATCATTGCATTGTGGCTCCATGGTCTCCTTGGTGTATCCAAGATGTGTGATCTTTTTAGTGTAAATTCTTGTTAACCTTTGTTCCCCAACTGAATCAGTCGTGGGGTCAGGAGGGTGCCCTCTTTCTGCCATTTGGAGCCCCTTACTCCTTCCCACCAGTGAACCTTGGCAGCGTGAGTGAGCACTAGAAAATTAATTTTGCTTATCATAAGGCCTTAGAAGACAAAAATGCATCTCTTATTGTATTTACACAATATGCTCTTTAATTTAAGGAATAAAATTTTGCTCTTCCTTTTGTTTGATCACGAGAGACCCAGGGCCACTGAGTATAGTTGTGCAGGTTGTGGACTGCACAAAGGTGCTGCATCTAAGGAAGCACAGCTCACATCATGAACATCAGAGGCTTTTATGTTCCTTATAACAATATTTTGGATGATGGCAGTAAAGAGTTCTGCTTTAACAAAACGATATATTAGGATAATTTTCCAGAAAAGGAAGGAAAGCATCTTCAAGAGGAAGTCCCTTTTTGTAATCCGCCTAGAGGTATTTTACAGGCCCATTGTTGATGTCCAACATTTTTTCAGCTGCTTTTCCCTCCTAGGAGAGCTTTCTCAGGAAACTAACCTGTAAAGCAGATAATCCAGGGCTGAAGGAACAGGGTTAAGGTGAACAGTTGAAAAACAACTGTGATTATTCACATCTCTTTATATTATGACACCATTCCGTGGCTTCTGTTACGTTTACTTCTAGTAAGGGTAGAGACTAAACTGATTTCATGGCCTTCACCGCCTCCCTGACTGACCCCTGTCTACTTCTCAAACCTCACCTCACACCAAACTCTCCTTCACTCCTAAGCAGCTGCTATACTACCCTTCTTCTAGTCCCTCACTATGTGCACACACATTTTCCTGCCACAGAAAATAGCAATGACTCCTATTCATCTTTGGGATCCCATAACATTACTTCCTCAGAGAAACTTTTCCTGAATATATCTTATGTATATTAAATCTCTTGGCTCTCGTGGCATAACCACGTGGCTCTCCTGGGAATGGACTGTTATATTTAAATGTGTGATTATTTGATTGAGGTCTGTTTTTTCTGAGACTCTAAACGCCATGATATAAGGGATTTTGATGACTGGTTTGGTTCCCACGAATCCCTAGATATTAGCCAGCACATCTGATGTTGAGTTATAAATAACTAAATAAATTAAAACACAAACAACAGAATAAGAATTCATTGAATACGAATGGCAGTTCAACCAGCCGACTCCCCATCTCCAGCACGACTCCCGTGTTCCCACCTGTAATGGCCAGGCATGCCTCATAGCGACTGTCCAGCACATCTCCAGCCCAGAGGAACCCCTGGCCCACTGTCTGGAGGGCTCACTCCTGCTGAGCAGGACCCCACAATGTAGGGTCGTGCCCTGGCACACCTCAGTCAGCTGAGTAAGCTCAGGATCTTAAGGAGACGGAAACTCTACAGCCCAAGCCCATTTATGTAGCACAGTAGTCCTTGTGCAGAGGTTACAGTCACATACCCATATTCTCATACAAAAAACTCCAAAGAATTATTTGTCTGGGAATTGTTTACACTAAGTAAATGGGTCATTACATATCATATGGTATGTGTTTTTATTTAAATTATAATTTAAATTTATTTTTATAAATTTATAATTTTAATACATTTATTATTATTTAAGTTATTGTAAGATAAATTCTAACTGAAATAAGCAGGTGACAAGAGGCAACAAAGGGCCAGGCAGTTTATTTGAGCGCAATCCCAGGTGATGTTCACCAGTCCAGCTAGTCACAGGCTGGGGAAGTCATGCCCAACAGGGCAGGCAGGGAGTTCTTAAGCGAACAGGGAAGGGAGGGAGAAGTGGACTGCACTAGGGGTATGTGGGGTAATTTTCATTGGCTCAGGGTCGGGTGATGGACAGCCAGAGGTCTCCTCCTTCCGGATGGAGGGGTCTGCATCCGGGGTTTGTTGGCACATCATGGGACTGGAATGCAGGAAGAGCTGTTTGTTCCTTCCCCATACGGCACAGAGCTACTTGGTGCTGTCTCTGCTCTGCCTGCACTGTCCTCGCCCTCCTCCCTCTGGAGCCTCCAGCCTTATATTCCAGCCTTTTGGTCATAATGGGTGATGACTCGATCTGGCTACTTCCGGCTGACAAGGGGTGTCGTGGGGGGTTTGGAGGTTGGTTGATGGCCAGAGGAGGCTCAGTCAGAAGGGGCAGGTACTTGTGCAGCAACAGTTGATTGACCTTTATGTGTGACATTTCTGCTATACAGTGTTGAAGGGAGAAGGTGAGGCTGCCTCACTAGGTAGGAGGAGGAGTAGGATGAGGAGCCTGTCGGAGTTGGATCTGTAGAGGTCCAACTTGTTCCACTTGCCAAACATCATTGGGGGGAGAGGCTCTCTTTAGTAGGGAAATATGGTACTATGCAGGGTGTTCCAATAGTTTGGCAGCAGTGGGGGTTGTGAGGATTACAGTGTATGGCCCTGTCCAGTGAGGCTGGAGCAATCAAGGCTGGAGTTCTTTTAGAAGTACCTCATCCCCTGGCTGAAGGATCGCTGCGTCTTCTGGGTTGTTGGACGACATAGGTTGGGGTAGGAGCTGGTCTGTGTGTTCCCAGAGAAGATGTTTCAACAGTGAAAAGTAAGGAAGGTAGGAAGCCAAAGGAGGAGAGGTAGCAGGCAGGCCTGTGGTCAGTAAGAAGGGCCTGCTGTACATTAGCTCAAATGCGCTTAGTTCCGCCGGTCCCTGTGGGGCAGCACGCAGCCGAGCGGGAGCGAAAGGGAGAAGATGGGGCCACTAGAGCTTTACTTCCAGAGACAGCTTAGTTAGTGGGTCTTTTAGGAGACTGTTAGCCCTTTCGATCTTACCCAATGATTGGGGGTGATGGGGTATATGGAGGTTCCAGGTGATATTGAGAGCCTCAGCTGTTAGCTGAGTGACCCGGGAGATGAAGGTAGGTCCATTATCGGATTGGAGTGAAGTGGAGAGCCTGAAACAAGGAATGATGTATTCTACCAGCATCTGCACCACTACTGATGCAGTCTCTTGGTAGGTGGGGAAGGCCTTGATCCAGCCTGAAAAGGTATCAAACAGAACCAGTAAATACCAGAGCTTTTTATGCCTAGGCATATGGGTGAAATTGACCTGCCAGTCCTGTCCAGGGATCATTCCCCTCATCTGGTGGAGGGCCATCCGGGTCCTCAGAGCATCTTGAAATGAGACGTGATGACAAGTAGTGCAGGCTTGGTGCACCTGATCTATTGTCCTGCGGAGACCATAAGGGGCAAATATGGGGGAGAGAAACCGGTGCATGGCCTCCAGCCCAATGTGTAGAAACTGATGAATTTTGGATATGATATCCCTGCCTTAATGTCCCCCGAGGTATATCCATCCCTGATCTCCCAACGCCCCTCCTTGATGGAGAAGCAGTTGCCATTCATCATCGGGGTATTGGGGCAATAGAGAAGAGGAAAGAAACAGCACAGAGGGTTGGCTAGACCTGGATGTTAACTGTCAGGCCGTGGCGTCTGCCAACGCATTACCCTTGGTTACTGGATCATTTCCAGTCTGATGTGCTTTACAATGCACGATGGCCACCTCCTGGGGTCCTTTTGGGCCTGTATCAGGCGGCTGATAGCCCTGCCATTGATGATAGGGGTTCCCTTAGTGGTAAGGAAGCCCCTTTCCTTCTAAATTGCAGCATGAGTGTGTGTAATTAGGAAGGCATATTTAGAGTCAGTGTAAATTGTGAGCCTCTTCCCGGCTGCCAGCTGTAATGCCTGGGTAAGAGCCACTAATTCGGCTTTCTGGGAGGTGCTCTCAGAAGGGAGTAGGTTTGTTTCTGTCACCTGTGACAGAGTTACCACTGCATAGGCTGTCTTTGCACCCCATCACTCCCCTTCACCGAGCTTCTGTCTACAAAAAAAGTTAAGTCAGGGTCTTCGAGGGGCACGTCTTGTAGGCCTTCTCTAGGTTTTCTAAGAGCCTCTACAATCTCTACACAGGAATGAGTGGGCTGATCTGCCTGATCGCTGACGGGAAGCAAGGAGGCTAGGTTAAGGGGTGGAGAGACTTGTAGGGTTACCTGTGGATGTTCAATGAACAGAAGATGGAATTCCTGTACTCTTGAAGGACTCAAGGAGGCTAGGGGTTTATGATTCAAAAGATCTTGTAACCGGTGTGGGGAATACACAGTAATGGGCTGTTGGAGAGTTAATTTCAGGGCTTCCTGGGCCAGACTTCCTTCAGCTGCCAGGGCTCAGAGGCAAGGCTGCCACCCCCTGCTGATGGCATCTAACTGTTTGGAGAGAAAGG